GTGTCCTTGATATAACTTATTTACAAAAGCAATTAAAAGCTTTTCTAATTAAATAATATCATAGTTTTATTGCATTCATTATTTTCCAATTCAAAGCAGATTTTCAGTTAGAATAGTGCAAGTTTAAAAAAATAATTCATGAAATAGAAAGATTTTTTGTGAAATTTCATGAAATTAAATAAGTGGGGTGGGGGGTAACATATGTAAAAAAAAAAAAAAAAAATTTTCAAAAATAATTTCATTCATTTCTAAATAGGTCCTGAAAATGTCATTAAAATCAAAAAATTATTTGATTTTTACAAGAATTTCCAAATCAATGTGTTTTCAATGGAAAAAAAAGCACAAAAAAAGTCAATGTAATTATTATGCCACCTCAATGACATAAACAAAACAAGATTTTAACCAAAACTTTGAGCATATTAGAAAGGATTAAAAAATCTAAAAAAATAATCAAAAAATACTTTGGTCTTTCATCTTAATAATAACATAAACATTTTGACAATAAAACTTTATTTTTATTAAGTTTGTGGCCTTTTTCACTATGCTATGCTGTTTCCTGCAAAAAAGTGGAGGTACCTAGATAATACTGTTTATGTGTAAAGTTGAAGTGAACAGGATTAATTGTATAAGAGTTTATTTCTCCAAAAACCTTCATCATTTTTGTTTCTATCTGGTTGGTTAGTTCTCTAACCATCTTCATGTGAATGCCATTTAGTTAAAGAACCTGCCAGCTGGGTGGGGGCCAACTCTAACAAACTACATTGGAATAAAAACAAAGTTGAAGATATTAGTCCAAAGAGACTTTTTCTAAACAACTTTAAACATTTAAACATTGTTAAGGATGAGAAAACTTTAAACATTGTTATGGATTAATTGCATTTTATCTACAAATTTATTTGATATAATTTTCCAAGGGGTAATGTCTCTCTCTCTCTCTCTATATATATATATATATATATACACACACACACACACACTAATTTAATATTAAAGTACATAATTTTAAAGCAATTACACATTGGAAATATGTGTTTAATTGTCATATTTTAATAAGTTTTATTTAGTTCATAATTTGCATAAACAAAATTTCCATAAAATTGGAATTTATATAATGGAGAAAAATTTTCTTAGCATGTAAAATTTAGACTTCCTGATCACAGAAAATACTGTTTGTGGGTCATTATTATAAATGAAAACAAACCTTATTGAATAAATTATGAATAAAAAAAAAATTGGTGTCATTTTAACATACTGGAATTTTTTTTTTTTTTCAATTATTATTGACAAACAGCAATTAAGAATTTTGTTTGAAAACTCAAGTGCATTGGTCTATATGCTGCTTATTAAAGGGTTTTTATCCATTTATATATTAATGAGCCATTTATGAAATTGTATCCTTTTTTTTTTTTTAATGTTTATTAACAAAATATCCATGATATTTATGTTGTTTTCTTTGTTTCTTTTTATGTTGTCATGTATCAGTTTTGTTTAATTTTCAGTATTTTCTTTGTTGTATAAATACATTTTAATATTGTATTGTATATTTTTTGTGACTTATCATTATTTGCTATTTTCATATTGGTGTTGTCTTATTTTCTCTCTGATATTATGTGATAGATGTTTTCTTATTTCAGATTTTCAGCAATTTTTTTTATCTGAGCTCATATATTTTAAGAATTGCTTAAGATTTTTACATTAATAATATTTTCAAAGTCTTTGGAAACAAATATATAAAAGAAAATGGAAATGATATCAAATTAGTTTTATGTTTATCATCATTCAAATAAATGGAATTAAGGAACCCAAATTTGCCATTAAATGAAGTTGCAGTTGTGTTTGGGCTTCATATATCTACATTTGTTATATATTATGCTGCAGACTTGAATATGTACAGTGTCAAATGATTTTTACATTTATAGATTATGAAAACTTCTTAATGTTTATTTTCTGTTCCTTCAAAATATCTCCTAATGCTATAAGAATATTTAGAAATTCATTCTTAAAATATGAGGTCAGATAAAAAAAATACTTGTACTTTCACAGTAATAAACAAAATAAGCATTTAAATGTAAAAATAAATTATAATATTAATTTGTGCAATGCATTGAAATTTTTTAAAGGTTTAAAATTTTATAAATAATATACAAGTAGGTGAGATTTGATGACACTAAGCAATGGTAAATATCTATTATGGTTTCTTTTGAAGTAATAATTAGAAGCTGAAAAGGAAGCTCAAGTTAAAACATTTGGAAATGTCTATAAACAATGAATACTTGCAAGATGATTTTTAAAAATCCCATCTCCTGCAAAAAGAGATTATAATGTAAAAATCATTTTTTAAGAATAGAGAAGATAAACTACAAAAAAGAGATACAGATCAATATTGGCAAAAAGTAAATTATTAGAAACACATAAAGAACAATAAATTATCTGAACTTCTTAAATGCTAATTATATTTTTAAAAAATATATAAAAAAGAAAGAATTATTTCTGATTCTAATCTTGTTTCCTCCAATGAAAAAAACAACAATTTTTGATTTGTATAAATATTTTCTGGCTTATTTACTTACTATTTTGTGGCCTTCATTTGCAATACTTGTTTCATTTAAGTAAAATCAGCCAAGTGTTTCAATTACACAACTGAATACTATAAAAAAAAAATGACTTAATTTTACCTTTCAACATTTGAAAGAAAATATTAAAACATTCTATAAATGCTTTTATGATTATCTTTCATTTTTGGATTGATTTAATAAGTGAATGGTGAAGAAGAACATTACTTTTTGCCAGACTAAAGAGAAACGAACATCAGCCATGAAGACCACCTCTTTAGTTTGTTTAACAGCATATAAACCGCTTATAGGTCATTTAATGCCAAAATTTAATTTTCTTGGAAGTATTAGTCATTTTTTTACAAAGATGTATTGCTGGTAATTTTTTTTTTTACAAAAACATATTGCTGGCAATTTTTTATCTATGAAAATGTATTGCTGACACCTTCACTAAAAATGTATTTGTACACTTTCATAGTGTTTTGACTCCAGTTTGGAGTTTCACTATTTGCCCATAGTTGACACCCTAACAGGTGCTGCCACTTCAGACCTGGGAACAACAACAATTAAGAGGTGGTTCCATGCTCTTCAAAAACCTCCTGATCAATGGCCTTGCTGCCAGATGTAGTTTATTGTCATGCCCAGGGTGACCATCTCTTTGAGAGTGCTATCAATAGTAAAAAAAGAAATTGGGAGTTGAAAGTTGACTGAGAAGATAACTATTACCATATTGCTAGTGTTATGCTAGACATGGTTCTGACTTAGGTCAATCTATTAGAATTGTGCATTCCTCAAGAGGAGCACATTGAGAAAGCCAACAAAAAGGAAAGTGTATCAGACTTGGGAGAATACTGAAGCAATAGTTGAGACATGCAAAGACATTGAAGAGGGGAATGCAGGTGTTTTGCAAGCCAGTTCTTTGGCAGGTTATGTAGCATCAGTAGATGAAAAGCCATCATGTCAGCCACCAGAGCAATAGCACTTGCTTCAAAGGGATTCTAGATTAGAATAAGATTGAAGCCAAGACTTGATCTGCCATGACTGGGTCATCCAGATAAGGATGTGTGATTAATAAAAGACCCAATACACCCAATGACCCTAGGAAACATCAATTCGGGTGCATCACAAGATGATGTATATAAAAAAATAGTTCAAATTAAATGTCTATAAAACAAAACTGTCATACATCAAAGCTTTTTTCATTTATTACATGATTTTTTTGTCTATTTCCAAATGTTACATTACATAATAGATATTCAAATCTATAATCAAGTTGATACTTACACATTATTACATATAGATGTGCTATTTCTAACTTTGTACTTTGATAATTATCGTGCAAAATGCAATTTGTTTTCTTTCAGTTATTTTTCTTAAGATAAAATTAACTTTTGAATTCTAAAAAAAGGGAGTTAATTCAATGAGCTTGTTATGTCATCTTTGCTATTTCATATTTGATACTTCTATTGTTATGGCTTATTAAGAAAAATTAAACTCAAATGTCAAAACTGAAGCTCATCTAATCTTGCTTAGTTTTGCATTTTCATATTTTTGAAAGTGTATACCTCATCAAATTTCTCCTTTTATTACCTTAACATAAAAAGTCTATAATTTTGAGAAACTTGTAATCATTGTAAAAGTTGTTTAGAATTCTACACTCATTCTTTGTGTTGTCTTCATTGTTACCACAGTATATTCGTTAATTCATTCTTTGGCGTTCTTCAGGTATTCAATCTATAAAGAAATAGAAGAGTCATTTTAAAAGGGGTGGAGAGGTAACAAATAGAAAGATAATGGTGGTTAATATACTGACCCTTGCAGCTAATTCCGATGAACACAGGACACACAGACAGTACTAATCTCAGTAACTCGTGTAACAAGTGATTTCAAATTTACATGCAGGGATGCTGTGTAATTATTTCCTCTTGTGTAAAGAAAACTACACTGTGCTGAAGAATAAGAAAATTGAGGGAAGTGGCATACATGAATCTGCTGGACAGCTGTGTAAGTCAACCCAGATTGGAGTTCAACACATTGTGATTTTTTTTTAGCTAAGTAGATTGAAAAATTGGAGAGCATGTCCAAATTTTTTTATTTTTTTTTTTTTTTGGTTTCCATTGGTGGAAATAAGCTAAGTATATAACCTATTCTGCTTGGTCACTTTTTCTATAAAAAGAAAAAAAATGAATCATCCTTTTCATTATAAATTTTTACACTTGAAGAAGGCTGGAGAATTGATTAACTGAAGTGTTATAATAACAAAAACAACACAAAGGAGTTGAATCTTATGAACAATTAATATCCTGCAAATAAAGTTTAATTAACACTCAGCATTTAAAATAGATTAAAAATAATTTTGTTAATGTTTCTCTCGGATCTTTTGAATCCTTTTGCTTTACCTACAACTTCTTGTACTAGGACATGCACCCATTCTGTTCCCCACTTCAGATTCGCGTGATTATGCAGTTCCTGACGTGACCAAGTCTTCGTTGACAGTGTCCCTACCACCACGCCCCCCGCGGCCACCAAAAGGTACACCAATCATGGGGAATACTCTGGACAAACCCCCCAATTATGAAGCACTGTACGCTGCTGCAGACATTGTCAATGTGCATGTGCCCAACATTCCTAGTCTGCAGGGGGTCAGTGGCAACAATATCTATGCAGTACCCAATGCCGATCTGCTGCTTAGTATTGACTACTCAGTCCCAGAGTTCCCCAGAGATAACCTGAAATTTATTGAAGTACTCGGAGAAGGACAGTTTGGAGAGGTAAGTTGCCATTTACTTAGGTATTTTATTTCAACTTTTTTTTTTTTTTTCATATTGATTTTGTTAAATTTAATTTTTTATTTTTTTATTTCTAATGTTAAAATTGTACAATTGTGTATGTGTATGTATACTCATATATACATTTTGTCTACTACAACAGTTTTTGGTAATAACAGATGGTCCAAAGTTCTTGAACAAAAACCTAACAAATCATCTACTTTGGACAGCTCATCTAGGTTTTTAACCACCCCCTCCCCTATAACATTAAAAATTTTGAAAAATACAATGAAAACTTAAATAGACAGATAGTGCCAGTTGAATTTAACAAAACTAGTTTGGATAAATTCTCACTGCCTAAATATACCTTATTTATGAGACATACATATGTGCATTCAAAATGAATACTTTGTATCTTACTATTTAATAAATAAAGAAAAACTTTTTAAAAAAATGCTAAATTTGTATTATTTAGATATTTATTCAAAATAGTTTTAAATTACAACAAAATCAGAATATTCATGAGGACCTGAAAAAAACCCATTTGTTAAAACCAAAGATCAACCATGTTATAACTTCTCAAAATATCATATGCATCTCTATCCACTATGCTTAGTTCAGTTCCAAAATAGGTAATACTCTTGACTGCCAAATCTCTTTTATTAAAAAAATAAAGAAAAAGTAAGGTGAAAAAAATTTAAGTTTACTAATTGATTCGACTGTAACACTTTTAAGTATTGTTACTTTTATTAAATGCTTAAAATTTATGTGAACTTTCTATAGTAACATAATTTGTAATAAAATCAGTGATGCTTTGTAATTCTATGGCTGTTTGTCCTGTCCATGTTGGAAGGAAAGATGATCAAAATGTGCCCATTAATCTTATGGACATATCCACTGATGAATACATCATTTACTCTCTTGCTTGACATCAGATTGTACAAAACCTGAAATATCAGCAATGAGTGGATAGCTTTAAGTAAAAAGCAACCAATGAGAATCATTAATCATAAGAGTGCTTAGTCGTAAACTGAGTTTTCCAAAAGGAAACATGTCTGTCATTAGATTCAAATATATACACAAAGATTGGAGGTCCCACCCAACATTTTATAGGCTATATTCCAGACAATAAAGAAAATCTAAACAGAATGTAAGTTTGCATTCTTTTTTTAGCACCATATATGTTGCAGATTTTACAAGTACACAATTTTGCTTTTATTTTTGTGTTTAGTAATGTTTTTTATATTTCTTCCAGTTGATTTAAAAATGTTTTCTGATATTGGATTGTAATGTCTTTGTTCCATTTTTCTTCTACCAATAGTATAAGACAAAGACTAAACTTTGGTATTTGTACCACTTGTGTATTTTTGTTTTGATTCAACTTTGGAAGCATAACAACAATTTATTTTAGTTTCATGTTAATTTTCTTTTCAAGAACTCATGTCAGACCCTCTTTATTCCTCTGGGAAATCATTGAAGCTCTACCTTGAACAAGTAATCAATCACAACAAGGAACAAAATATTAAATACTCTGTTAAATAAAGATATTTTTAAATGAAATTTTTCTTTAGTTGATGAAATGTTTTAGGGGAAAAAACATTGGATTTTCTAATTACATGAATAATTTTTCAACAAGAAAGTTTAGATATACAGTTGTTTACATTTCATTTATTTTCTTTTGTAAAATAACCAACATGATAATTTTGACAATTGGTACTACATTTTTTCTGATTAGTTTTGTCATAAGCAAATGCATAATCAATTATTTTTCTAGTGTTCCGGTTTGGTTTCCATGAATTGTTTCAATATTAGAAACAAACATTTGTTTTCCAAAATACAAAACTGAAATTATTACTGATGAGTAATAAGAACACAGTAACATAAATTCTGGATTTGCTAACAAATGGAAAAAAAGATGTGACATTAACAACCATAAAGTAACAGCATTGCCGCCAGTCTATACAGAAAAGGTCTGATTAATGGCATGGTCACATTTCTTTAAAAAAAAGAAATAAAATAAAAAATAACACAAAATCTTCTGAAAATTATCAGTTAACTATAGAAAATTATAACAGGGGTTTGTGCCTATATTATCCCAATCAATTGTGGTAGTGAATAAGAGAGAAAGTAAAAATGAAACATTGGAAAACCATTATATGTATTAAGGCAACAATGAATTAAGTTTATCATAGTATGTATGAAAGAAGAGGCACACACTAAAATAAGATCAAAATAATAAACCATAGTGAAAGAAGCTTAACATGAATTTATAAAAAAAAAATGATAGCATCAGCTAATTTAGTTTAAACTTTAACGGTGAAAACTTGGGTTTAGAAAAAACATTTTTAATACTTAAGATACCTCATATGAAGAGTTAATGTGAAACTATTGGGAAAGTGTCCACTATGGCACAAACTGCCTACAATCAGAGTTGATAGCAAAAGAAAAAAAAAAAGGCCAATTCTTTGATAGATTCTTATGTGTTCTGATATTGACACAAGACTTGACTATTCAGTCTTGTAGTCTTCTTATTAAGATCAAGTCAGAGAAGTACTAAGCAACTTCTAAAAACTAGATACAATATACAATTAAGGAAGGTTGAAAAATATATCAGCTAAAAAGCTGTATTAAAAACAAACATGACAACAATAATCAGAAAAAAATATAAGATTTTTTTTTATCTATGTTCCTAAATGGTTATTTGCTGAGCTGAGTCCAAGACTACCATTGAAGGGCACATTGTTAAGTGAAATGAGTTGATACAGTCAATAACTCAGTGTTCCTAAATATATATACTCTTGAAAGTTTTTGTCTGTTATGTGTAGGAATGATTTACTGAAAATTTCTTGGCCCCCACCAAGATTTCTGGGAAGTGTGTTGGTCCAATAACCTTTGAGCACCTCTTGTACATGGTAGGAGAGCAAAACTTGCAAAATTACTGTGACCTTTGAAACTTGCTTATTATGCATAAATAGACCTATATAAAACTTGTGGATAATGTCAAAACAATTTATTAAATGTAGCTTGTATTATTTTCAATTATGATCTCAACATAACCTCAAAAATCTGCAATGCTCTTAATTGTAAAGTCGTTGGATATCCTTGTGCATTCATCCATAATGGCAGTTTTAAGGATGTTGGTTTTAGGATAGCAAGTCTTGGTGGTCTGCTTGACAATGCTCCATGCATCAGAGTCTAGCAGATTCAGGCATTTAGTGAGTGAAGGAGGGCTAAAAGTTCACTGGCCAGAAATTGGCAAAATTATCATTGTAGAACTTCTGCACCTTATTCATTGTATAGCTAAGGGCACCATCCTGGGCCCAGCCATTGTTACTCTCTAAATAGATGGCTTTGAGCCATAGTAAAATGTAGTACCTCAGGACCTTGTTAAGCATCCATTTTTTTCTTCAGGCTTGAAGAATTGGGGCATTTTTTTTCATTGAAGGCTGCAAGGAGCTTATGAGAGAAAACATTTTCCAGCCTCTTTCTCACAGATGCAACAACACAAGTATTTCCCTACTCTATCACTATTTCTGTAGCAAGTGTTCAGAAGAGCTCCATTCCTTTGTTCTGCTAGTTCAGACCTTTACATGCCATACTACTTTTATTACTGCCATATTCCAAAATGGAAAGTTCCACTCAGACAGTTTTTTCCCCCAAGAACTGCTACTTTGTGGAACAGACTCCTGTGTAGTTGTTTCCTTGAACACTACAATCTTAACCTCTTCAAATGATGGGTCGATTGTTATCTGTCCTCCTAATCTTCATTTCCTGCCATCTCCTCTTTCATTCATATCAAATACCATATTAATCATAACCATTATAACAGTAACCCTCTACTTTGAGTAGCTCTTAATCCACATATTGGAAGTTTAGTATTATAAAAAAAATAAGAATAAAAACAAGAACACCAATGCACAAAATCTGTACTGATTGTTTAGTTATAAAAGTGATCTTGAAATCAACTCATTACTCCATGATGTACCAATCATTTCAGCAAGTTAAAACATTGAAGATCTCTACCTCAGAGAATATGACTTGAGATACCTGAGCACCTTCATATAAATAAATAAATTATATCTTTAAAATTAATGTATAAACAGAAAATGTATTAAATAATCATCGGATTTAATCTATTTCAATATATATACATATATATATATATATATATATATATATATATATATATATGTATGTATGTATATGAAGAAAAATATATACGGAAAAAGACTTATCCAAACAAATAACTGAAAGTTTTATAAGATCAGCGCTCCGTTTAAAACATGGTCACGTTGTCGTTATTCAGTTATTAAGTCTTGTTCTTATGTACCTCGTCTTTGTCATGTTGTATTGATAATGTTATAATTTATGAATATGTCCTGAAGATGGTTTATTAGACCGAAACGTCCGACGTTGACATATTAACATTAAAACAGCATAATTGTATATAAGGATTTTTGTTTGTTTTTTCCGTATATATTTTTCTTCATACTGTCGGATCTATATCCATATATTTGCTTACATATATATATATATATAGACCTCACCCTACGTTGTTAATTGTTTTCAGAGGTCACGACTTGGGTCAATAAAGAACTTAAATCAAAATAACCACACTATAAACCGCAGATAAGCACCCCCCCATTGTCTATTACAGTATTTATGATATGTATGTACAGTATTCTGAATAAGATAATTAATTTCCACCTTATCTTCCAGCAATATAGTCATACGCTTAGCATTAGCACTTGAACTGGAACATTTCTTCAGAACCATGGGCAAAAATGTATTTTGAAATGTAATTGAAAGAGTGGAATACAACGCACAAATACTGCCTGTCATCAGAAATTTGAAATAAGAACATCTGCTGAATATACTTTACTATGCTAATTTTTTTACTTTTGATGATTTTATGATATATTATTTTTAAATTTATTTAAATATGATTTTATATGTGTTTCTTGTTATTTTAGTGTTTTGCTGTTTCTAATGGCTTATGTAAACTTGAGTAAAATAACCTAAGGCGAGTTTTATCTTTCCATATAATATTGAAGAAAAACCAACATATCTTCAAAAATGACTCAACTCGAAATAACTTAAGCTGAGGTATCACACTGTATATAAGCTGAATTTTTTAACTGAAATTTTCACTTTATGTTCAATTTATGTGATTACTATTCACCATGGAATTAATTGCATTACCAACTTAAAGATGTTGAAAAGTAAATATGTAAAATATTTTTTATCATTAGGCTATAGATTTAATAATGTGTGTGTCCTCTTCACAAAATCTGCCTCAAAACTTTTTTTTATATTTTTTTTTATTTTTAAGAGCTTCTTGGTCAAACTGAGAATTTTCAATACCACTTCATGTACACAGAGAAGCACTCTAAGTTTGTATTTTCCTTTCCAGGTTCATTTGTGTGAAGCCGCCCGAATCACTGATTTTCTAGGGGATGAATTTGTGGTGACAAGGACAACCCCACGGTCAATGTTAGTTGCTGTAAAGATGCTACGTCCTAGTGCAGATGACAGAGCGAGGTAAGTATGTTTATATTATAGAGATCATAGTAGAGAATACACTAGTTTACTATTTCCCTCCCTTAGACTTGATTTTTACTGCTTACTGAGGTTAAATTCATTTTCATTAAATTTATTGCTAGGAATGTGTCAGCACACTGTTGTTGGAATATCATTTTCAATTCCAATGAAAAATCTTTTTCTTTTATCAATTGTATAAAAATTGTTTTATTTATTGGTAGACATGGCCAAATTTGGTACAAGGCTGTATTTCTAGGCATTTACTGATCATCAAATTCATTCTCAACATCTTGTAAAGTCAACACATTAATTACTGTATTCTGTACTACTGAATGAAACAATTCATTTCGTAAGTTGAGATTTTAATCATCACAACAACCAACTTTCCTCAAATTGCAACTCTTGTCTATGTATATAAATATCACATTATTCATTAATTTGTAATATTTTATATTAAAAATAGTTAATTCTTTTTTTATGTGTATTTATTCTCGTCAGAATTGACAGAAAACAGTATAGCAGTTGTTATACCACTGGCCCTATACAGTGAACATTATTAGACTTGTAGTAGTGGTTGTTTGGTTGGTGAGTGCTACCACTAATTAGCATATGTGTAATAGTAAACATTATGTATAGATTTGCTAGGTAAGGTAGTGGCAATGGTACTTGGACTGTAGAACCAATACTGAATGCAGACAACTTCAATCCCTACTTGGAATATTATAACAATATGACATTATGAAGAGGATCTATGATGCATGTAGAAGACCCAAACTTTGTTGAAACTTGAATAAGGTGCTTCATAGCCCTTGCTAGAACAAAGAAATTAGACATAAGTTAACAGTAGAAAATGGTGTTGTAAGTAATTCCCACAACCTGCTCCCCCTATTTGGTGTAATGGACAGACTCCAGAAATTACTTGCTACTCGGTGTCAAGAAACTGAAGAAAGTCTAGAGCTGTATCTTCAAAACCTGAAAATATTAAGTCGCGACTGTGATTTTACTGCCCTGACAGCAAGCCAAGCCAGGATATCTCAATAAGAGATGCCTTCATCAGTGGAGTACGGTCTAACCAAATCAGACAAAGGATGCTCGAAAACAAGGACTTGGATCTGGCTACCGCCTACTTAACTAACCCATACATTGGACATGGCTCAGAAACAATCAGATCTCTATTCGAACCTGATTTTTCAGGGGCTACTATTCTTGCCCATTCTCATTCCCAACAAATTCCCATCTCAAATTCACAACATTGTGACCCCCAGAGTAAGGATTCTTCAAATACTATTGAACAACCCGTTAGTATCGCTTCAGCTGAGATTAAGTGCTACTTCTGCGGCCTTCATAAACACGCTCGTTCATCCTGCCCGGCTCGAAACAGTAGATGTCATGGATGTGGCAAGCAGGGACATTTTTTAAAGGTTTGTCGGTCAGCCCCTTTACAGAAAAACGTTTAGCCACCACCCTATCATTATCTACCGTGTCGACTGTCTCTCCCAAATGCCTCTCTAAAACAATCGTGCCGGCCAGAGTGAACAGACTAAATCTCCACGCTCTTATTGATACGGGGAGTTCTGAAAATTTTATCGATGCACATAAACAAAACAAACAAATGGAAAATCTTTTCCTGTTCTAATCAAATATCAATGGCCACTTCATCCTTATCCTGCCGTGTAATTGGATTCTGCACAGTTAACCTCGAGCTAAAAGAAAATTTCTATTCTAAAATCAAGTTGCTGGTAATGAGGAACCTCTGCTGTGAAGTAGTTCTAGGGCACAATTTCCTTAACCGACATTCTCACCATACAATTCCGTTCGGTGGTATCAAACCAGCACTGCAAATATGTGGATTAGCAACTGCAAAAGTCCAGTATCCATCTCTCTTCTCAAATCTAACCTCTGACTGCAAACCTATAGCCTTAAAATCTAGACGCTATTCGCTCAAAGACAAGGAATTTATTGCAATGGAAGTGAAGAGACTTCTTAAGGAAAATATTATAGAGCCCAGCAAATCGCCATGGAGAGCCCAGGACTAATGAAAACCATAAAAAGAGGATGGTTGTTGATTATTCCCAAACCATCAACAAATATACACAGCTCGATGCGTATCCGCTGCCCCATATTGACGAAATGTAGTAAGTCATTTTCCAACTTTGCCAAAAAAGGTTTCAAAGACATCAAATTAATGGAACAGCCCCCAGCCTCCTCAGATATTAATCCAATAGAAAACTTCTTCTCCATCATCAAAGAGATGGAAAACAACATTCAAAGAAAGATCGGTAGGAAGTAAGAGAAATATCTAAAATGTTAGTTTAATTGTATTGACAGGGAAAGGGATTATACTGAAAAATAAATAATTGTTTACATTGTTTACAAGTAGTATATTGGTTAATGGTGAGGGATGAGAATTTGAAAAACCGGTTTCGACTTCCGGTCACGTTCGTTGCATTCACTTTCACACAATTGCCGTTTGCAAAATTCTCCTCCAGCTATGGGTTAAATAGCATAATCGACTGGGTTCTTTATATGTAGTTGGCAACCAATTTAGGAAGATGAAATATTTGAATTAATAACCCAGCAACTGAAACATAAAAAAAAACGGTGCTGTTTCAAAGCTAGACCCTCTACGCAGAAATACGTTAATCACGATAACTATAACTTGTCGTCTGACGTAGATGGCCACCAGTCACCTGAACAATTAAGATGTTCCCAAAGGACCCGCAAAATGCCAGGTTGTTGGAAAGACTTTATTCTGTACGAATAACTAGCTGGTGGGGCAGAATGTTGTAAGTAATTCCCACAACCTGCTCCCCCTGTTTGGTGTAATGGACAGACTCCAGAAATGCTTATAAATAAGCTAGCTTAATTCTTTTCTTTTTTGTAGCTGTATTAAGTTGAATAAAGCTTTCCTAAGTTTATTCGTTTCGGGTTATTCATTACAGTATGTAATAAAAAGTGTGCATGACAATGTGTATTGTAGAATTACAGCTACACAGAAACATTTAAAACTAAAGGCATGGGGACCTGGATAAAGCACACAATGTTGAAAATTACATACACAAATGTCCAAAATAAAAAATTTTCACCAGAATAAAGTACACACATGGCCTAGGGAGACAAAACCCGGCCTGAATTTGTTTGTTTTCATGATTGGAAAACTAGTACAATAAGGTAAATATTACAGGTAATATTTGTTAAAAATGGAGTACCAAAAACATTAGTGTCAGATAATACCCTAGAATTTTGTGAAGAAAGTCTGTGTTCTTAGTTAAATTATGTGTATTCCATATAAAACTCCACCATGTTATTCATAATCAAATGAAATTGTAGAAAGAATGGTACAGACTATAAAAACTGGATTGAGAGCATTTTCTCCTCAGCAAGATGAGATTGATAGTTTCTTACTAAGAATATTATATTACAGAACACTGTACTACATGCTGACAGATGAGAAAGTCTGTCTGCATTAATGGTGGGGGGGAGACAAATTAGAGCCCCATTAACCATGTCATACTTTATTAATCAAAAACTGTGGTACAAGAAAAATAGAGACACTGCACCTGAAAGGGCAAATTTTATAATACAGAAGGGACACAATACAGCATTAATATTTAAAAAGGGCAATAATGTTCTTGCTTATGCGTATAAAATAAGATCCAGACAAGAATATGGAGGAGAGCTAGAAATTAAGCTATTAAATGTGTCCAACTCGGACCCTATAAATTAACACAGGAACATGAGCCAGGAAGTGAGTCGAGCTTATAAACCAACAGTAAATGAGTGAGGAGTCAATGGAACACCAAGACAGTCTGGATGATTCAAGCATCAGTTGTAAAGAACAGGACTTAACCAAAAGTGAGACAGATCTAGATCTTGCATAAAGAAAAATACACACAGATCTCTAAAGAGGGGAAGAGAAGGATACTAAAATGAAAATACAAATAGACAAAGAAACTTTAGACCAACAAAGGGCATAAAGCTTATTTGCTTCCAGGAGATGTAGTAGTGGTTAGTTGGTTAGTTCTACCACTAATTAGCATGTGTGTATGAGTAGATATTAGGTATAGACTCTCTGTGTAAGGTAGTGGCAATCAAAGCCAGTGCAAGGGTCTTGTGACCCCTCCCCTCATATCTGTGATACAAAGCTAACTCTACTACATCTCAATTTTCATAAGATAGTATTCATATGAAATACAAACTTTATTGTAACCTAATTATGCATAATAATGGATCACATGCAATATCAGTGAACAATTCAACTAGAAAAATTGAAAATAGATACAATGTATCTAAATACAAATTAATGACATGTCATAATATATCAATCCATCTTAAATAAATCAACGTTTTGTGACAATTTTTAACCTCAACTTGAAAATTTTCTTGTTAAAAAGTTGAATCATTTAACACATTCAACATTATGGATAAAAAATATTGAATTTTATATAGTGTTTTTTGACACTTAGCATGAGCAAAAGAAAATTATGGATTTGGATGGGAAAAAAAAAAACCAGAGGGACATCAAAAGATCACAAAGATTTTTCATCCTTTAATAGTCAGTTGTGCTTAGTTTAATTTGTAATATATTTAAGTAAGTAGAAAAAAGCAAATGTTGATAAGATAGTGAGGGTCACCAAGCACTGCCAAGGGACCCCAATCAGGTCCTTACCAGTCTGGTGGTTCAAGGGTAGTACATGCCAACCCTGGTGGCAATGGTTCTTGGACTGTAGAATCAATACTGACTGGATACAACTGCAATCCCTACTTGGAATAACATAACAACTTTTCTTGTAACAGACTTGAGCTGATATACTGTACTCTTTATAATTATTTAATTATATTTAATTCAATTTTCCTTCCAATATATTTAAGCTAGCATAAATGTAAAATGACTCCTTCATTTTCATTATTATTCTCTTTAAAGTGGTTATAGCAAGAATTAAATGAAAGAAATTATTCCATGAAAGGTGTGTCATTGTTTGTCTCTAGTTTGTCATAGAAATAAAAGTCAAAATGTCTTTCTATTGTTTTTGTTGCTGATTGAAAAATGTGAAAAACAAAATCACTTAAATTTAAGTTAGAATGACAAATGAGCACATTTACTTTTTTGAACCTAAACAAATTTATTTTCATGCTTTCTTAGCCAAGAAAATAGTCCTTTTCACAAATATGGCAAAATATTCAGCAACTTCATAGAAAAGCAAAAAGTCTACTTTTAAGACAAGAGTTTCTGTTTACTATTTCATCTATTCATATAATTGTATACCAAGCCTATCATTTATAGCATCATTATAATGGATTCTTATTCTGGCTTTTATAATACTTGATTGCCAGTTGCTGAAATATACCTAAAGTGTAACAATTGAATTAGAAAATAAAATATACTGTTTTGATCATACATGACTCAAATTGACTTTTATTTTTTTTATTTTTAATTTCTAACCTCCTATCTCATTCCTAATATGTCTGAAACCTTTTTTTCTCATTTTATTTTTGTAGAGCTGATTTCCACAAAGAAATAAAGATCATGTCTCAGCTGAAAGACCCAAATATTGTACGTGTGCTTGGAGTCTGCACCCAAGAAGAGCCTCTGTGCATGATTGTTGAATACATGAAGTATGGAGATCTCAACCAGTTTATCCTGGAGCATGTTCCAGAGAGTCCTGTTGCAGCTGCAACAAACGCCAAAACTTTAAGGTATTATTATTGCATGCATAACCAATCCATTACTTGGTGGGTATAAAACAGGGAAAAATGAATGCCATATTAATCAATACTTTGTACATGAAATGGTATTTTAGAATATCATCTTAGATAGTCACATTCAAAATAAAAATGTGGCCAAGAATTATTCTCTTTCTCTCTTTGGGTTTATTTTAGTTGAAAATAAAAAAAAAAAGCTAAACAACAATCACCAAATTCAAACATTCTTTATTCAAGGAACCAAGATAATTAGTCTCTTTAACTTTATAGCGAAGAGTATTGGTGTAAAGATTAATCAAAGCACCAATATGTTGAAAATTGAACTTTAATTGAATAGCAAGCAAAAACACTTTCAATAGGGACACTGTAAAAAGCAGAAATAAAGTATTTTCACTTTGTTACTAAATAGTAGGTATAAACATAAACATTGGTAAAAAAAAAACAAAAAAAAACTGACCATTAAATGAATGGTAGGAATATATTTCTTTATGCAAACAGATAAATATTTCAAAGTCAGTCTGTAATGATCTGATCTTGGTGTCTGCACACCCAAATCATCACATGAGATGTTTATTTGAGTAATTCCATTAAGATGCATTAACTTAAAAAAATAAAGCCATTTCCAATGCAATATACAACTGGGATCACCTTGATAATAATGATCTGATTTTTATGTTTGTGTGTTTCTAACAGAAGCTGAAAAGAAAATCATATCAACATTGAAAGAAAAAAGAAAAAAATGATTACTAATTGTTACATAGAATAATGAGACCTATGAAATGGTGACATTTTTATGAGACCTATCAAATGATGATCTTTTTTTTTATTTATTATATAAAAATAATTTCTTATGTTACAGGTATCATTATTTTATGTCAAAATTATTCACCTTTATATTTTTCTTATTTTCCCCTTCTGTCATGAACCATTCCACATTTTACAACAAAAAAAAAATTTTCTAAATTGTAAGCATGTATGATCCAAAAAGACTTATACTGATTGAGATTAATAAGAGTTTGGCTAATTTCAGAACAGTTCCCCTTATAGAAAATGACTTGAAACCAAATTTACCAATGGTTGTTTTTGCCAGACTTTAAGAGAGTGTTGTCAGTAATAATTTGCATAGATTTTTCTCCAATTTTACAAATAAAACGTTAAGGGAACATTTATCATGTCAGTCTCTCAGGATAATAAATACAGCCATTCATTCAAAGGGAATTTATTCTTGATAGTCTTAACATATTTTCAATTCAGCTCAAATATTTAGGTTTTTAAATTTTCAACTGAAAGTTTTTTCCTAAGTATTTTTCATTTTAAATAAAAAATAATTATTTATTTTTAATGATTAAGAAAAACAATATATAACACTTATAAGCAATATTTTCAGGGTTTTTATTAAGAAAATGTCCAAGATCAATAAATGTTGCAAAAAATGTCACAAACTAACGTTTTTAAGTAAATTAAAATACCTTTGGGGTCAATCCTTTTCCAGCAATAACATTTACAATTGCTGGTATAATTTCATTGTTCTTCAACAGAAAATATCACAAATTTTTCAAACAAAAAATATTTAATAGAACTGTTTAAAAAAAAAAAAACAAAAAGTGGAATTTCAACGTAATTTTTCTTCAATTATTATAAAGATTATTTGAAAATTTTTAAATGACCCTTCAGTTTCACTTTTATGACACACACACACACACACACATATATATATAGACAATCGGAAAAACACATTTATCAAGGCAAGTGATGATAAACAAAATGTTGTGAAATGTTGTGTAGTTACACAAAATTCAAAAGATTTTTAAAAGACACTTTTGTTTATTATTTACATTATTCGGACTATTGTCCTCATCTTTGTTGCCATATTTATCACAACGTTTCGGCCGTTGTACGCTCCAGCCTTCAGGTTGGAATTTCAAACTGAACCCTTTACTATGCTCACTGGGGTAGACTGTTCTAGTTCCACGTGCCATGTTTGATGGATGTCAGTTATCTCCTGCTAATTTCCCTTTGCCTTAACCGAGTATTGAACTCACACTCTTTGGGTCCTGTCACTGGATCTAATCAACGCCTTTATCCACTGTGCCATGTGTCCTTGAGGATATATGGGTATGAATTTCTGGGTATTATAAACCTAATGTCTTCAGCAACCATTTTTACCAGTGCTCGTATTGCAATTTTTGCTGTTATCATTTCATGTTTTTACCAGAGCTCATATTGCAACTTTTTGTTGTTATCATTGCTTTTCTCTGGCACTCCTTATTACTGGTTCCCATATTGTATTTATTTCTATGCTTGGCCGGCTCAGGAGATTTTTGTGGCCTAGCATATGTGCTGATTCCTTAAGTTTACGAATTTTCCAAAGAAGGCCGGAGCGTACAATGGCCGAAACGTTGTGATAAATATGGCGACAAAGATGAGGACAATAGTCCGAATAATGTACATAATACCTCATCTCAGAAATATAGACAGACACTTTTGTTTATCATCACTTGCCTTGATAAAGTTGGATAACAAAACATATCGGCAAGGACAAAGTACTATTTTCCGATTGTCTATTTTATTCAAATTGTCTCCTCACACATGCGCACATATATATTAACGGTGGGTTAGTGCAAAGAGGATTTTCCACTTATATTAGACTACACAAACTACTTGTCCTAAATGTAACAAGATTAGACTTATGAGTAGAAAACTGATTCTTTGTGAAGAAAGGATGATTCCTGTCTTGAAATTATATATACATTCATTAACTAACCTGACAGACAGACACACACATTTACTACACTAGAAGCTCTTTTAACATGAACAGCACTGAATAATTTTGCTAGTGTCGCAGATTTGAATCAACCCACAACAAATTTAAAGGCAAGAAAGGTTTTTAAATATAAAATATTTTTATTTTTGTGTTTTTAGAAATAAATTTTTCTCAATGTGCATGAGTTTTAAAGTTCCTTGTTTGTTAAGAGGAAAAGAAATGTGATTTCTTTACATGTATGTGTGAGAAAAAAGAAGCAAGGGAGAAAGTGATGAAGAAAATGTAAGTGTCATGTAGCTTGGTGAGGAAGACAAGTGTATCCGTAAGGGAATCTGTTTGAAGCTGATGCATCATGAACTACTGTCATATATTGCTGTTTCTATCTTCTTACTGGCTTATCTGGTCTAGAAGCTTTGCTTAAATACCCTTCAAAGGGATCACATTGCATGGTTTTTATTGTCAGCAGGAACAAGACCTGTTGGTTGGAAAATGTTTAATATTTATTTTCAAAGGATTCATTTATTAACTGGAAGGATGTGTGAATCCTCCAACTCAGAAACCATTTTTTATCATTTGATTATTGACTGTCTTGGTTTTTGTTTCTGTCTTCACTCCACAGCTAGTATATGTAATTATTAATATTAATATTATGTGCCTGTTTTTTTGCTTTCAGTTATGGCTGTTTAATCTTCATGGCATCACAAATTGCTTCAGGGATGAAATACCTCGAGTCACTGAATATGGTCCATCGTGATCTGGCCACAAGGAATTGCCTTGTGGGCCACAACTACTGCATCAAGATTTCCGACTTTGGTATGAGTAGGAGTCTCTACAGTGCAGACTATTACAGGATAGAGGGAAGAGCTGTACTACCCATCCGATGGATGGCCTGGGAAAGCATTCTCTTGGTAAGTTATGGCAAGAGGTTAGTTGTATATATGCATAGATATGAATAACATTTATGAACAAGAATCGCAAAAAAATTCATTATTGGGAATTTTATTCAAGAATCGAGAATAATGAAAGAGGGTTTAAGTTTATTGTTGAAAAGCATTTCTAGTATTAGGTTAAAAGGATTTGTTTGAAAGGAAAATGAAAAAATATCCAATTCACTTAGCTGGTAGCAATAAAAGTTCTTTTATTTACAGTTCATTCAATCATAAAAGAAGGTAAAAGATTTCATGTTGTGGGAAATAAATAGAAAATCTAAAAGGATAACAATTAAAAAACAAAATCAGATAATACAAACACATATATATTAAGTTTCAATACTCCAACACCACCATCCAAAATTAAAATTGGATATTTAACAGCCAAAGTAGATAAATATATTCCAAATCCGAGAAGATGCCTCAAATGTCAAAGATACTGTCATCTAAAGGAGTATTGTACAAGAAAACAAACATGTGCAAGATGAGAGGAAATAGAACCAAATCATGATGATGCAACATGTGAAAATCAACCAAAATGTATCAACTGCAATGAAGATCACAGAGCTGATTCTAAAGTATGCAAGACCTGGGGGAAAAGAAATAATAAGAACTAAAATCACTTAAAACATTACATTCCCAAAGGCAAGGAAATTTACAGAAACCTCTTTCTCTATACAAAATTATGCAAAACTCCCCAAAACACCACCAAATGAAAATCTAAAAAATAACCTGACAAAAGACAAAACAGAAACACAATTAACATCATTAATAAATCAATTGCAAAATTTCATTAAAGTCTTAAAAACCAGTATAACAATTATGGAAATATCTTTCACTACCAAATTAAACCATAACCCAATAACTAAAGAAAAGGAAAAGAACAAAACACAAATCAGTAAGAAAAGACATAGACCTATCTCAAAGACAAGAGAAAAAGACTAAAACCAAAAACCAACCCAAAATAACTAAACAAGGACAAAGGAGAAGTCAGAAAAATTTGAACAAATGTAAATCCAAATGGATTCTACATCCCCAACACATCATAAACAGGATAACTTAACAAAATAAAAATCTTACAATGGAAAGGAAATATGGATACTTAATACAAAAACATAGTCATATTGGTTAAAAAATCAATACCCCATGAAAAACTACAATTAAATAGGTGTCGCTGACTGGATCTTGCAAATCTACAGACTATAACAGTAAAACAGATTGCTTCAATTCATTTGAACAATAACTATATGTTCGATTTATATTCCTCCAAAAATGCACAAACTGAATAAGACTGAAATAAAAAGGCAGCTAATTTTGATTGCCAACACCTCTTTTCCAGATGGTTTGTACCAATCTCTTTCTACTAACGAGAGATTTTAATGCACACGCTTCGAAAAACACCGACTGTCCAATTGCAAAATGTGGGCTATAGGAACCCCAATCAAACTGGTAAAATTATAGAATCTCTATTAGAATCATCTAATCTATGTATCCTTAATAACCAAATGCACACATACCTACACCCAGGTACTGGATCAACATCAGCCATCAACCTAACCATGTAGCGCCCCATCAATTTTTATGGACTTTCAATGAAAAGTTCATGATGATCAATGCAGTAGTGACCATTCATCTGTTTTCCTAAATATAAGCAAGCCCTATGCCAGAAGAGAGGAATCCAAAATGACAACTACACAAACCTAACTGGCTAAACTTCAATGAACTCTACTCATCGCAAATCAACAGGGAAATTCTCAATGAACCAGAACCAATAGTCTCTTTTACAAACATACTAATACAAGTAGAAAGACAAACAATATCCAAATCTTCTTTAAACCACATACCAAATCAAAACATTGGTTCACAGCAGAATTCAGAGAAGCAGTTAAAGCCAGGAAAAAAATGCTAAAGATATTCTTACACAACCTAACCATAATCAACCTACAAAACTACAAGCAAGCTCAAGCAAAAGCATGCTGTATAATTAAAAAATCCAAAAAAGAAACTTGGAAAAACTACATCTCCAAATTAAAAAACAAAACCCCAATAAATAAAACATGGGAAATAATAAGGAAAATTAATGGAAAAGCACCAGAAACTGCAACACTCAACGTAACCAAAATAAATGGAGATAAATGCACTGGAAAAAAAAAGAAATTGCTGACCTAATAGCAGCAGAATTACAAAGAAACAAATCACTACACTCCCAAATTTCAAAATTATAAAAATATTATGGAACAAGAAAAACTTGTATTCACTTAAAACAATAAAGAAAAATACAATATTCTCTTTACTATGACGGAACTAAAAGACTCCATAAACAAAAGTAAAAACTCTGCAACTGGTCCAGATGAAATGCATTACCAATTTTTAAAACACCTGCCAGAAATGTCTTTTTTAATACTTCTCCAGATCTTCAATGATATATGGTGTTCAGACAAATTTCCAGAATTATGGCTTGAGTCTATACATCACTCCAATTCCTAAACCCAGGAAATACCATTCCAACCCAACAAACTACCATCTAGGGTTTTTGATCCATCTGTGTAGACTGGTTTATAGTCACGATATTTGACTCTTAATTCCTATATGCTTTTTAAAATTGCACTTTTTTTGCAAATGTGTATCATTCCAGGTTTGAGAGGCAACTGGTGTCCAACAAACTACCATCTAGGGGAATTTTGAGAATTCATTAAATCCTATCTAGTTTAACATCTGTGTAAACTGGTTTAAAAAATAGACATTAAGGAAATTCATGATGAACAGACAAAAAGAAGCAAATCAAAATGTTAACGAACCTAAATAAACAGGTATTTGACATTCTTAAACTTCTCTGTCCTATGGAACAAGACAGTGCTCAAATTAAAATAAAATTGACACAACACACACACACACACACACACACATATATGCTCAAGGCAAAACTTGAAAAAGACATCTTTTTTTTAAAGAAGCATAAAAAATACATGCAACTATTCCAAGAAGCATTAGTTAAGACAGAAACTCTAGGTTTGAAGAAGCATTGTCCATAGAACTTACCTTATTTAAAAAACAAAATTGTGACATGATGGAAGCAGCTACTGCAAAAAATAAATTGGAAATTCACAAAAACTACACAAAACCACTGCAATCAATTTCTCACAGTTATCTTGATAGAAAAGCATAAAAAATAACATTCTATTACCAAAATACAAACTGAACATGCTAAGACAAGAAACTAAACCTCAAAAACCACTGCAATCAATTTCTCACAATCAAACATATCTTGATAAATGATCAAAAAAAATACATCAAAAGAGAACAACACACACACATGCTCAAGACAGAAACTACACCTCATTTTAAAACCACTGCAATCAATTTCTCACAGTCAAACATATCTGATATGAATATAAAAAATACATAGCAACCATTCCACATCTAGTTTTGTAACAATCAACAAACATAAATAGAAAATAAAAAAAAAATACATAGCAACTATTACAAGAACAACATCCGTATATGCTCAACAGAAAATCACCTCATTGTAAATCCACTGCAATCAATTTCTCAGAGTCAAACATTCTTGATATAAAAGCACAAAAAAAAAATATTGAACAACACACCACACAATGGGACAGAAACTACCTCAATAAAAAATAATAATTTCTGATCAAAAATATAAGGGAAATCATGAATCTAGCTGACACTCACAGAAACAAATCTTATAAAATTAGAAAAGTCAAACATATCCAAAAACAAAATTACTAAACACACGCACACATGCTCAAGACAGAAACTACACCTCATTGTAACCACAATTAAAAACATATCTTGATAAACAGGTTGTAAAAAAAAATACATAGCAACTACATCAAGAACAACACACACGCACATGCTCAAGACAGAAACTACATCCTCATTGTAACCAAAATCAATTTCTCACAGTCAAACATATCTTGATAATAATGGAAGAAGCATAAAAAATACATAGCAACTATTACCAGAACAAGACACACATGCTCAAGACAAAACAATAATTGGAACCACTGCAATCAATTTCTCACAGTCAAACATATCTTGATAGAATGGAAGAAGCATAAAAAAAATACAAAAACTATTAAACTACAACACACGCACACATGCTCAAGACAAAACTAGTTGTAACCACTGCAAACAATTTCTCACAGTCAAACATATCTTGAAGAATGGAAGCATAAAAAAAATACATAGCAACTATTACCAAGAACAACACACACACACACATGCTCAAGACAGAAACTACACCTCATTGTAACCACTGCAATCAATTTCTCACAGTCAAACATATCTTGATAGAATGTAAGAAGCATAAAAAAAAATACATAGCAACTATTACCAAGAACAACACACACACACACATGCTCAAGACAGAAACTACACCTCATTGTAACCACTGCAATCAATTTCTCACAGTCAAACATATCTTGATAGAATGGAAGAAGCATAAAAAAAATACATAGCAACTATTACCAAGAACAACACACACGCACACATGCTCAAGACATTAAACTACACCTCAATGTAACCACCTCATTGTAACCACTGCAATCAATTTCTCACAGTCAAACATATCTTGATAGAATGTAAGAAGCATAAAAAAAAAATACATAGCAACTATTACCAAGAACAACACACACGCACACATGCTCAAGACAGAAACTACACCTCAATGTAACCACTGCAATCAATTTCTCACAGTCAAACATATCTTGATAGAATGTAAGCATAAAAAAAATACATAGCAACTATTACCAAGAACAACACACACGCACACATGCTCAAGACAGAAACTACACCTCATTGTAACCACTGCAATCAATTTCTCACAGTCAAACATATCTTGATAGAATGTAAGAAGCAAAAAAAATACATAGCAACTATTACCAAGAACAACACACACGCACACATGCTCAAGACAGAAACTACACCTCATTGTAACCACTGCAATCAATTTCTCA